GCACGTCAAATTTGTTGATGACTGAGGATTTGCTAAAAATCCTAAGTCTACGTCTAACACATGTCGTCGGATAGTCTATTCCCGTGAGAAAGACGAAGTCTACGAATTCAATATCATAGCACTAAGAGAGTTAACTCTTTTAGTATAACGTTACATGCGGAACGGACTTAAATAATTTGCATGCTAGCTCGACTCAAACTATAGTCGGTAAAGGCTCATCAAACCCGTTGATGACTAAGGGTTTGCCAAAAATCCTATAAATGTGATAAGTCACTGATGCATCAGCTTCATTAGTTGGTCTCATAACTTAAGCAACTGACAAACTCATGATAAGATCCATACATGCAGATGAATCAGCTTTAACAGTTGGTTATGCAGCTCCAACAGTTCAGACTATCATGCTCCAATACCTTAAGATCTTAAACTGTGTAGACTCCAACAAATGTACGAGTATGAACTGTGTTAACGCCAGTCAACGTGTTACAACAAAGGTCAACACCGGACAACGCATTACAGTAAAGGTTGATGCCGGTTAATACATCAATAATTTTATCAAAATAAGGCTAAGGAAGAATTCTAGGTTAAAGGATGATTCCAGGGAGTTCAATCACATTCACACACCAATTCCCGATAAAGATGATCAATTCAAAGTCAACTCAATGACACAAGCTAAGTTCAGAAACTTACACACCAATTTTAGTTCAAGACTTCAATAACAGTCAGATAATAAACGCAACGCCGGAAGAACTTTATCTATTCGACAAAATACTGAATAGACTGAAGGCTGAAGAAGTTAAGAATTGAGGCAATTCACAGGTCCTTTTATGCGATCTCCTTAACGAAATACTAAAGAGATTGAAGTCAGGGATTGTCTTATCCAACATATTCTAAACTTTTCTATAAAAGAATGATTCTGAAATACTTTAGAGGGGGTATCTGTAGGCGTCAAAATTTGCCTATGGGTTCCCGTACGTAACTCGAGGCGAAATGCAGATGATAAGCGTCATCATTCAAGTTAGGAAAGGATTATCCGGCCCCGTGGAAGCTAACGAATATACAAAGTGAGTCGTTGGAGTATACAAGTTAACGGAATGATAAAATACGCAATACAAGTCCGGAGAAGTCAGAAAGTGTCAAACACCATAAAGTGGCCCGCATAAAGAATTGATATTTTACCATAATATAATTCGAATCTGGAAAAATTTAAAAGATAAACATTGAAGGTCTTTTCGTTAGCTTTCTAACGCATCTTGAATCACCTCATTCTGAGGTCGGATGAGTAAGTTAAGACCGCTACAATACCGCGCTACAGTAACCACGTACCCGCGCTACAGTAACCGCGGGCCACCAATTGGTGACCCACACTATAGTAACCACAGGTCACTAATTAGTGACCCCCCGTGCTACAGTAACTGCGAGTCACCAATTGGTGACCCACGCTACAGTAACGCGGGTCACCAATTGGTGACCCATGCTACAGTAACCATGGGTCACAAATTGGTGACCCCACCAATTGGTGACCCGTGGCCGCCGCGGGTTAGGTCTATCTGACCCACTCCCTCTGTTAGTCAGCAGGCGCCGACTTATATCCGTAACTACCTGTAAATCATATCTAAACGTGAGTGGATGGTTGTTAATTGAAGATAGGGTCAAATTCTTTGTTCTTATCAAAATACCTTTCATCCGAGGCCCTATAAATACAGGCTTAAGGTCTTCTTTCTCAGGGGGTGAATTATTATCAAGATGAGGAGGTGCTGCTGAACTTCAGAGCCAAGAACCACGAATTTTAGCATGTGCTAACGAGATCCCGACGAACTTCGGCATAAATAAGGAGTTTTTCGAAGAATCTAAAGCATGTTTCCACCTTTCCTTGGGATTAGGCTTGGTTTAATCTCGAGAAGAGTACTGATTTCACTTGGTCGATATTAGTACTTTAGCGAATACTTTCTTTGTGAAGTAGGAGCTATGATTAATCATTCTGTCAACCGGATCCGATCCGTAGGCGGTCTACGGATATCAACATCCCCGGCACAGGCAAAGATCTCACGCAAACAGAGACTAATAAATAGGATTTGTGTGTTGTTTGAAAGAGATTATAATCAGTTATTTCTATTGTGTAAAAGTCTTATAAAAAGACTAACTTTTTGTTGAGTTTATGATAACGCCTGAAGTTGTAATAGATTCAATCACAATGAAGAAAATAATTTTCGACCCAAACAATAATATATTACAAAATACTTTATTAAGAATTATACACTAATTCAATAAGCAATAAAATAAATAGAATAAATATTTAATAGCATAAATAGTGTGATTGTTTTAATAATATCACATAAATTATGAATTATAATATTTATTTAGTATTATATTATTAGTTAAAATAAATAAATAATTTAATATTATTTTTAGAATATTTTCTCAAAGATTAGTACATGATATTGAGTAATCTATGCTTAGTAGTGACTAAAAACTAACCTTTTTACAAAAAAGTTATTTAATATTAATAATAGTACTATTAATTGTTAATGATAGTATAATAAAAATTTATAAAGTATTTATAATACTAAATTATTAAAGAGCATAAATTTAAAAATTAAATTAGATAAATATATTTTATAGTATATAGATAATAGAATTATTTTAATAATATTACTTGATCAAAAAATTATAATATTAAATAAGGTAAATTACAGTAAACCCCCATGAACTTTCAGCATTTTATAGTAAATATACTCTATAAAGTTTCAAAATCACTCTAAACCCCTAATAACTTCTGTAGAAGTCCCCTAATATCTTTTAGATAAATTACGACAAACTCTTAATAACTTTCAAAATGTCTTTTTTGCCATTTTCTGGCTCTAATTTATAAGGAATATTTACAAAATTTAGAAAGTTATTGGGCAGTCTCTTTGAAATAAAAAAAGTTACTAAGGCTTTAGTGTGATTTTGAAAGTGCATAGGGGCTAAAAGTTCATAAAGATTTAGTGTAATTTACCATATTAAATAATTATAATGAGAAGTAACTATCACAATGTGTTGCTGCTATTAAATGTAACTCTCTTGGGAACATCAAACACAAAAGCTAGAAAGATCAATGCAAATTAGTTAATTTAGAGTTAAGTTAAGAACTTTCAAGTTGGAGGGGCATATTTAAGAAAAATTATAATTTGACATTCTTATTTAAGAACACTTGTAGATTTTGGGGACTTAATTAAAAAAGGTCAGCATTAGGAAATTATTATAAGAAAAATTTTCAATTACAACAACTACACAATAATAATTAATCCATACATTTCTTTTTAAGCAATCTTATTATACAATTTTATTTATTAACACATTACTTTACTATTCAATAAAAAGTTCAAAACTTAAAACATGTACGTTCACGTGCAAAACACGTGCATTATACTAGTGTTAAAAATGAATGATTTATCTATCTTCTCATGATGTTTAAGTAAATTATAAGTCTTAAGATGATTCCTGAGCGAACTCGTTACTTATTTCGAAAACTTTTGCATGTTGTCAAAGGGGAGACAAACAAATTCCCTCCCTTGTGCAAGCAATAAACACGAAATTATCTCGATTAGGATAAATAAATAAATAAAAACTCAAATCATGGACAAGACTATAAGAATTATATGTGCATATAAGTTTTAGGATTCATATTAGAATAAAAATAATGAATAAAAGATAACGACTCATTTATCCTTTTTTCTTGCTAGCCTTCGTGGCTGACGCCGGCCCGAAAGTTTTTTATTTGATGCAAGATTCGAACACATGACTAGTTCATTATGGACTAATTTATCCTTTTTACGTTAGCCTTCGTGCTTGATGCTAGCCCGAATATTTTTTATCTGTTGCAGAATTCAAACACGAGACTAGTTCATTATGAATCGCCCCCTAACAAGAGCACCATCATGCCAATCCTGTTGGCAGATAATAACTTATTTAGCAAAATGACTTATAAGCCACCCCAATGTCATACCGTAACGTGTGAATCTACCATACTTTATCCCTTAAGAAATTATATTACTAAATAAATATTCACCTCCTAACCATCAAATCTTATATGATCCTTCCCCAAATATCTCTTGTTGGAGATAGTCTTAGGGGCTGTTTGGTTTGTTTCCTTGATATACAGAAATGCAATTCCATGTAAAGAAACACAAGTTTTGAGTTTTCCAAACTTTTCCAAGAAATAGATTGTTTTGCTTTGGTTCGCGCATAAAAAATGGTGGGAAACCAATGTATTTGTTTTTCTTGTGTTTGGTTCGCATAGAAAAAAAAAGAAAACTTTTGTAAACAAAGCAGAGAAGGAAAAAAAATCTGACGTGGCAGAGTTTTCATCAATTTCACTTGGTTGGAGAAGGAAATCGGAGAGGGAAAAAAATCTTAGTTGGCGGCTATTTCAGCATAGTTTTCCCTCTTCCATCCGAGCGAACCAAAGCGGCACAAAGAAATGGACGGAAACAAAAAAACTGACGTGGATGACTAAAAATCTGACGTGGATGGGTTTTCTGAGTTTTCCACCCCTGATAATAGCGAACCAAACAGCCCCTTAGAATATAATTTTTTTTTATCCCGATTTACCAAATCCTGTATATATGATCCTTCCCCAACTTCACATGTTAGACCAGTGTTCGAATAGAATTAACAGTCAATAGTGACGTGCAAGCCTTCCCATTTCGGACTGCCGGCTAGTGGGACCCAAGGAAAGCTTGCAAGCTACGCCTACGCGTAAACCACCACGTGGTTCTACTTTCCCCTTTTTGCAACCCGCAAGCTAAATCCAACTGCATAACGCCTATGGTCAACCCCCACTCTCCAACAACTCATCCACCTGTCGGAATCCCGTTCGACTGGACTCCTGTTTCGTATTCTACCGTCACATCAGCAGAACAAGTAAGACGGAATATCAGCACGCAATCATCAGCAGTTCAAAACCAATCTGACGGCCGTGGCTTGTTCTTCCGGGTTCTCGAAATATCTCAGCCGTCCAAATGATGGTCTCGAGGAAGCGGCGAGTAACATGTGCCGCCGGCGTAACGTAAAGGAGACAACTCCACGCGCCTGCCGACGGCTGCGTATGTCGGTTACTACTTATATATTTCTTTTTTCGCGCCACACACTCTCTCTCTAGACTGAGATAGTAAGATATATAATAGAGAAGAGGAATTAGGGCAACGAAAGTTATGGGGACAAAATCGATGTGACGATGGATGAGTTGGGTGCAGAGCGAGATCTCCTAGGGTTTTGACAGAGAGAGAGAGAGAGAGAGAGAGAGAGAGAGAGAGGAGATCGGAACGATCGATGCTCGGAATTAGGGTTTGCGATCGCGGGTTTGACGAGTCCTTGATGGACTTGAGAATTGGGTAAAGAGCTTCACATAGCGAAAGTTGCTATCTTTGAGTAAGATCTGGTCTTAGATTGCAATCACATTTTTGGTGGAAACAAGGTACGCTTAGGTTTTGCCTTCGAAGAACTTTGAGATTATTTTTCTTTCAGAACTGATCTCTTTAATTCAATTGTGTTTCCGTGCTCGATTGCTACAAATGAGTTTAGATGGCTGACGAACTAACGAAAAATTAGAAATTTGGGATGGATGTTCGGTCGGAATTTGTAATTTGGTGGTTAAATTTGTAAATCATTCTTGTAGTTAAGAAGAATTTTTGCTGATGTTGGAAATTGCTTGAAGTTTGATCTGCTAAATGCTATTTGAAATTGGACTTTTGAATAAAGTTACTTACTTCTATCAAGTGGATATTCTTATAGTTTTTGATGATTATATAAAGCCCACAAATATGCAATCAGTTTTATTTTCTTTTCTTTTTTTTATTAAAGGAAATGGCATCGATGGTCGACCCTCCAAATGGCATTCGAACGAAGGGGAAACATTACTTCACAATGTGGCAGAGTATTTTTGAGATTGATCTTAAGTATGTTCCTATCAAGCCTATTGGAAGAGGAGCTTACGGGATTGTATGTTCTTCAATAAACAGAGAAACAAATGAGAAAGTTGCAATCAAGAAAATAAACAATGTCTTCGATAATCGCATTGATGCGCTTCGAACTTTGAGGGAGCTGAAGCTTCTTCGACATCTACGCCATGAGAATGTTATTGCTTTGAAGGATATCATGATGCCTATCCACAGGAGGAGCTTCAAGGATGTCTACCTGGTTTATGAGCTCATGGATACTGATCTGCATCAAATTATTAAATCATCTCAGCCACTTTCCAATGACCATTGTCAGTACTTCCTGTTTCAGGTATGACTCATTAAGACAGATTTTAAAGTGAGCTAATTCTTGGTAGAGTATGCTACTAGCTGTTATTTATCTGAAAATAGATCTATAAGCACAACTTACTATATTATGTTTAGCACAGTAACCTCAATTTTCTAGTTTCACATAGTTGGGGGAGTCCATGACTTTATCTCGTGCTTATTCTGTGCTGCTTAAAGATGATGAAAGACCTTCGTGGAGCATCTCTCTGAAACCGTGTTAGTTCAGCGAGAACTATATTTGTGGACTTTTTGGTTTTAATATTGGTTGTTGACTAGTCAAATCTTTGAGTTGGTTAGTATGTCTGACTGGACAAAAGAGGCATTTTCTATTGTAAATAGTAGTGTTGAAGGCAAAGCAAACCTATTGATTGCGCAGTTTATGTCTTGAAAGCAGGACCGACCATATTAGTCTATTGTGGAATTTCACTCATTCCCAAAGCATGATAGAAGCAAAAGGGTAAAATGATGAGAATGTTCTCATAGTTAAATTGAGTATTAATATAATACTGAACAATTGCATTTGTGGTTGAAGGAAGAATTTTGAAGAGAGTTTGAAAATAACAAAATAACTGGATGAATTTAGAATATCGATAAGCCTCATGGATCGTGGCTAGATCATATGCAAATTTAAACCGCTTTTCCTATTTTTTACTTCAGTGTAGATATCAATAATTTATTTATAGGTTAGTGCTTTGCTTATCATGCAGGCTCTTGCATGCATCAAATAAGTGATAATGATGATTTCCCCATCCCCTTCCCATCAGAATAGGGCGATCATAATTTTGCTCATCCTGCTTGTTCTTCTTTCTCGAATTGTAAAAAAGGAGCTTCAATCTAGATAAATGTCTATTCAAGAAGCAGTAATTCTTAGTAGGTGCTATGTGCAGTTAAACTCCTGGCTAAGACAATATGAGCAAGAGGAGCCCCCATCACAAGTTTCAGGTCCGAAGGCCTACCTTATTTGTGACTCATACAGTTTACGAGGCAGAAATATGCAGAATTACCTAAGTTTAGGAAAATGACTTATAGAAGAGAAGTATTAGAATTTATATTGATTTACAGATTAATTAGGGCAGTTATCTTTGAAATTCATAATGTTGAGAACAAGATTCGAGGTTTTGGCTTTTACATATCGATATTAGTTGAGTCAGACCAGTCAAATGGGTAAGTTCCATCTAAAACTCGCCAAAAAATGTAGGTTAGTACCATTTATTGAATGAGTGAAAGAAGACAAAAATCATGACTGAAACCAAGCTCTCTATCTTGGTTGATCATTGAAGATTAGTCGCATGCCATAATACATCATATTTTAAGCATTATGTTTTTAAATGTTTGGAACCAGGCTTGATGGTTATGGCTATTCCTTACTATTTGTTACCCCGTTCTTGGAGAGTGCATTCAGGAACATTTTAACTGCATCTAACAGAAAATTAGTGTTTATATTCATTAAGTGACAGCCAGCAAGTACTTTGTGCCAAGGTATAGCCTAGTGTGATTATATATGTGGAACAAGGTGATTATTGGCATTCATTTGCTTAATTTGGCATCTGCAAGGTAACGATCAATGGAGAAGTGTGTTTATATATGTTAAAGGGTGCCAATTTCTAATGTCCAAAATGTATGACATGGTAGCCTCTGAGCATTTATATATATATCTAAGAGGCATGTATACAGATATGCATGTGATAAATTATGTACTTGCTCCATAGCTCAACAAATAAATTTAGGTCATTTTTCAGTACGTAGAGCTTCCATCTAAAGGAGCCTGGTTTAGAGTATAATTTTAGGACTTTCATAATTATGGCTTCAACAGTCATTGGAGTCCCCTTAAATGCATGACTTCTAATGGAAACAGTTAGTAGCCATCAATTTACTTTTAAATGTTGGTGCCCAACTCGTTGAAAATCCACTGGAATAACAATATTTCCTAAGCTTAAAGAAACTCGGCAGCATACAGTATTGATACATTATAAAATCATTGGGATTTCTTGATTCATTATGGTATTCTCTCAGCCTTCAACAGGAGATAAGAACTTATGTCTTGCCTATCTGGAAGTTGAATGTTTGGAAGCTGGTTTCGGACACCAAACTCTGGCTTTGCCTTGGTTAGTACCTTGAGTATTGGGTACTTTAGTCTCCAAGAGGGATGTATATATGTTGAATAACTGTGACAAGGATTAGATTTGAATAAATGGTGGTACGTTGCAAATTGGGTTCTTTGGGACATGCAAATAAGTTGGCTCACTGTTTATCACATGAATAACTAGTTTAATCTTCCCATGGAGAGAGTAAAATAGGGGAGATGGTACAATAGATGTGACCATTACCAGATGTGATGTCGCCTGCATCACGAAGGGTTTCTTTTTTTGGTGGAATAAAGCTTCAGATGAATTGCTGTAGACTAGCATTGCTTTGATGAATGCAGGATGAAATGGGAAAAGTAACTCTGCAACAAATATGACCAATTGTGGGGTAGAAAGAGGTGCGAGCTCTTTGATCTTAAGCAACCGCTGAATGATGCTTCAACTCTGCCACATTTGATGCTTCATCACTTGTTGAGTGAGGGGCCAAAAAAAAAAAGGAAAAAAAAGAAAAAGAAATAAAAAGAAGAAATCAGTCAGTGCATATAATCTACTCTTGGGTAAGGGCTCAAGCTTTGGTTATTATATCCGAATGGTTTGTCATGTTCAATATTTGAACAAGCAATCCGGAAGATGTTTTGTGGGCCTAGAAGAAATAGAGATATTCTGATGAGACCTGTACAGAATGAGGCTGGGATGTTGATTCCTTTAGGAGTTTCTGTAATTTGTTCTTCACCGGTAAATGGCTTTTTTGGTGTTAGTTACCCATTATTTACGTCTGGGAGCGGGAACCGTTATTCTGATTATGGGTTGGGAAAGTCTACCCTATCAAGTGACCATAGTCAAACTCAGCTATGAGTTTAAATTACCACGTGAGAGTACATGTCCACTAGAACCCAGCCCTAGGTCTGATTTATGGCTTTCAAATAGGTAAGAAGAACTTTGAACATCTTTACCTATTGCATCGATGCCTCACCATGTGAGTCATTACGAAGTTGTTGCATGGAATCATCACATGGAATCATGGTTTGTTGGGTGTACAATTATAAATTTTTAACCATTTATCATGAACTTCCATACATCTTTAGATTTTACTATTACCATTTATAGTCTTGAATCTAGATCATATATAACTTTTCTAGTAAAAGAATGTGGCCTCTGGTTCCTTTTCAGTTGAATATATCATGTGGGAACTCAAATGCAATTAGTTTTGTTATAGTTTTTGAAATGATGAAGTCGTATTGAACATGTGGATTTTCCGTGCAAAAGGCACAATATGTGCTTTCCCGTTGATATATTAGCTTAGTTCTTGCTATAAATTTAGACCCATCTCTCTCAGTCAAACTTGATGTCATTTGCTATTTATTTGGAGTAATTCTGTTTTATGGTTGTAATTGATTGAATTTACTTATTGACAAGACCATTCTCTTTAATTTTTTTACAACATCAATTGGACTCAGTGGTTTAGTCTACAAGGTCATTGGGGTATACAGATTGTTATGTATATGTACTAATTTTTGTATTGTTAGGGCTGAGCATGAGCTTCCAAACTTGTCTCTCTTTGGTAAAAGGTTGGTATTTTCTTTCCAGTACACTTAACATGTTATATGAGATTCTCCGCCCAAACATTGCTTTTTAAGTAGGCTAAGTGGTGGTTAAGGCTTAACAAATGCAAGTTACAACGCTGATTTTGTGAAGTACTCTATAATTCCCTTTTGCACTCGTGTGATTTATCTTTAATATCATTAACTTGAGGTCTAGCAACAAAGTGAATATTTAACTGGTTGTACAGCTTTTTACTGGCATTTTTTATTCTTGATGCCGAACTAGGTTTACAAAGTAAAGGCCATAGGTTTGTTTAGATTACTATGCAGATTTGATGGAAAGAAAAAACAGTGATGAAGAGGAAGAAAATGAAAGAGGCGGAGAGGAGATACATAAACAAAGACCCAAGACACTCTTAATTAAGTTTCATATTCATTTGCTAGTTTATTAAATGTTTATGCAGCTTTTCGATTGGCAAAAGGAGGATGTTGAGATGGCTGTGGAACATACACAATAACATAGGATAAAAAAAAAGAATAGTGATAAGAAGTGGCTGATCTTGTGAAGAATAACATAACAATCAATCAATCAACGTGGTTCAGTGATTATGCAATGTAAGTGCACCAATTATAAGTTATAAGATCATAGCTGATTGAGCAGCAAGGGCCTGATTGAGTGATGTGTTTTAGAGGTATGTGCTTATAGATATGTGAACAGAGTTAGAAACTTAAAATTGATGATGTTTGTTTATTCAACCTAGGGAATAGCCCTCAACAAAGCTGACCTCAGTAGATTTGGATGAAGACTTTTCTGTTAACATCGCTTTCGAGCCTTTGGATAAACCTTGCACGAATCATAAATTACATTTACTGCATAACCACAAAGAATACATGTTATTAAGACTGGACTTGTTCACATATGCGTACTCTTTTTTTTATTAGACCATTTTCTACAATGTGAAGCTAACTAGGTCGATCCAGGAAGATTTTTGAAAACTCTTCTCTCACGAGTGTTGTATGTGTCGTTACGGAGTATTTGTGTTGTGGTAGCTCTTCTATATTTTGGTGAAATGATATATGTTTACTTGCATTTAACCTCTAATTTAATGAGAAGCGGCAATGGTAGCTCTCAACCCTTCTTATATCATAAAGCTCAGATTTGACTTGAAATTCAGTAAGCCACAGATAAGCTTGAAAAGCTTGCTGTAACATTACATAGCATCAATTCAATTTCCAGATTTCTTTTACCTGAAAGACTTCCTATGCTAAATTTGCAGCTTTTTTATGATTACAAAACCACAAGTTTATTACTTCTTTTCTTGAGAAGAAAAAATACAAGTTATAATTAATATAAAACAACTGAGAACACATTTATTTTATATGCAGTTGCTTCGAGGATTAAAGTATCTACACTCAGCAAATATTCTTCACCGAGACTTGAAGCCTGGTAACCTCCTAATCAACGCTAACTGTGACCTCAAGATATGTGACTTTGGTTTGGCTCGAACTAGGAATAGAAAAGATCAGTTCATGACTGAATATGTTGTTACCCGCTGGTACCGAGCTCCTGAGCTTCTTCTTTGCTGTGATAACTATGGAACCTCTATAGATGTTTGGTCTGTAGGCTGTATCTTTGCTGAGCTCCTCGGCCGAAAGCCTATTTTCCCTGGCACGGAGTGCCTCAACCAGTTAAAGCTTATTGTCAACGTACTTGGAACTCTGGATGATGCTGATCTTAGCTTCATTGATAATCCAAAGGCACATAGGTACATCAAGTCTCTACCATTCTCCCCTCCAATTCCTCTGAGTACCCTTTATCCAAATGCAAACCCATTGGCTATCGACTTGCTTCAAAAAATGCTCGTCTTTGATCCATCTAAGAGAATTAGTGTTACAGAAGCATTACAGCATCCTTATATGTCTCCCCTTTATGACCCGAGTGCCAATCCTCCAGCTCAAGTCCCTATTGACCTTGACATTGATGAAGATCTTGGAGAAGATATGATCAGGGAGCTGATGTGGAGGGAGATGCTTTACTACCATCCAGAATCTGCATCCTCCAACAACTGTTAAAATCATTTGGTAGGTCTTTGCTAAGATTATGGCTTGCTGGTAGTGCGTTGGAGCTCTATATCTATGTTTTCTAAGCATGCAAATGTATGTGATATGGGGATCCCCCCTTGTACAATTTTGGTGCTAGTATCTCTAATAAAATGTGGTTATGTTGGTGAATGTGCAGTTGTCGATGAACTTTGTGGAACGTCTGTTTAGAGTCTCTGTGGCAGTTTAATTTTCCATTATTACTTAATTGACAAAAATAATCACAATGGTGTTGGAAGTGTCGAATGCACATTGTGGTTGACTCCATTGAATTGTAAAATATAAATGATGAAACTGCAATTTACTCTTATGTTAGTGTGCATTTTCCATTGGCTTTTTTCAGGTGATGAGTCGACATTCATTTTCACCACTTTATAAGCGTAGAATGATGCCTATAACCTATCAAGTGCCAGCGCATTCTTTATGCCATATCAACGTTCACCGTCACCACTTTAAAGTGTAGAATTGTGGAAATCTTTACCAGCGTGGGGAGACCAATTGCAGGTAGAGCCTCTCTGTTCATTTCATAGATCATTTCTTTATTACTTTGAAATTGGATAGTTTTTTTTACTTGGGAGGATAATAATAATTGCAGTTTCTTTTTTCAGGGTGTTTCAGCGATATCTGTACTGTGCTTAGACGGTGCAACATTTGGAAATAATTAATGGAATTAATCCGGGAGGGTTTTTTTGTCTTGAAATCTGATTCGTTACTTCAAGTAGATTTTTGGAGTATTTATCAAAAGGAACAAACGTAGATTAAATTCTTTTGAATTTGTCCGATTGAGATATCCGAAAACTTATTTCCTTTATCGATTTACTTTCATATATATTTTTTTATATATATTTCTAGTTTTTTTTCCATCCGAAAAGGGGCGCTTATTCTATTTCTATATTCCTTCTAGATCTAAGGACTAAATTATTTTAACAAATATAAAAAAATGGGAATAGATCCATAGGTTATATACCTTGTTATAGAACTTGTGATTTAGAGAAACTTCAGATGAAATAGAGTTGATAAATGAAGCAGTTCATTAACAATGCACATATAAAAAATGAATAAAAAGAAAGCATTGACTTCCCTTCCATACAACCAAGGCCTCCTTTTGTTTCCTACAACTAGTCTAAATTGTATCTTTAGTTTGGTGCCCGACGCAACATTTGTAAACTTGCTACCTACTATTGCGTGCAAACCTTTAATTTGTCACCGTGACATACATTAATAGAGCATTATCTGCTCTTGAAAAGGTTAAAAATGATTAGTAAATAGCCTTGTTGAACACTTAAAGTTACATTCTGCTTAAGCTTTCAGCTTCCTTTATAGGTAGCACTTACTTATATCATGTGATTTTTTTTTTTGATATTCTCTCTTTTTCTGAGATGATTGTGGGTTTTTGTGTTAATATGTTGATATATGACATCCTTTCCTCTTTACTCGCACTCACAAATCTTGACAGCCAGCAAAGTGCTAGTCGTTATCTACTATATAAGATTACCAGATAGGCAATAATAGCTGTGCTGGACTTCGCATTAAGTAGGTTCACTGTCTTTATTTTCAAAACAGCAAGCCTGATGATCATCAAACCTTTGATTATCCTCACTGCATAATACTCCTTGTTTTTCTTCTTAAAAGTCGTTTTATTTTAATAATAAAAAGCCCTAGAGATACAAGAAAGCATTATTTGAATATGCACCTAAGGGATATTAATTACTGGATATCACAAAGTTCAACGATCCAAAGTTTAACACATTTAATACGAGGCCAAACAAAGTGAAGGGGTTTATAATGTGACTAGTTTTTGAACTTTCTTTCCAATGGAGATCTTGGCATGTTCACTCTTTGTTCCTTGGGAATTAAGCAAGGCAAGATGGTTGGTAACAAAAATTAATGGCAGTGCCTGAAGATGTAGTGGGACATCATAGCACCTTTGGTGAATACACAAAGGTGGCTGTCATGGGGGGAAAAGAAAGGAAAGGAAAAAAAAAAAAAAATCTTAATTGGAGGACCATTCCTGGGGTTTGTGAAGAAAAGAGAACCTCAAAGTTGTGGTTTTCCATTATACATATGGCCTTCTCCAAACAGTAGGGGAAGAGGAGAGAGTACGTGGTGGTTGCTAAAGGTGAAAGGTATGAGGAGAACCTCAAAGTTGTGGTTCTCTTTATACGTGGCCTTCTCCAAACAGTATGGGAAGAGGAGAGAGTACATGGTGGTTGCTAAAGGTGAAAGGTATGGGGAGTGCAGACACAGAGAGAGAGAGAGAGAGGGAGTTGCTAAAGGTGATAGGTATGGGGAGGAGAGAGAGAGAGAGGGAGAGAGAGATAGAGAGAGAGAGTACTAAAGGGGATTTGGCCTACTTTCTTTCCTTTTTCCCCCCTTTTATTTTGTGCATATATAGTGCTCAGCTATCAACCATCAACATTGTTGTGAGAGCTCCAAGATGTTGCAGCAGGGACTAGAGTGTCGCTTTGTCATTGATTCCCTTGGAATATTTTGAGAGAAGAAGTTTCTATCATAGGCTTGTTATGGTATTAGTTATTATCTTCTACCCATCTTTCACTCACTTCTAGATTGTGATAAGAAGCGCTGATAGTTGAGAAGGGTTAGTGGGTTGCAAAAAAAGATTCGAGGCCTCTGGATGGTTTACTTATAGAAAGGTCATCTTTTTGAAAAAAGTGGTAACCCCTTTCTTTTGCATTTCACTGTTTAACTAATGTAATTTGTTGGAGTGTGTAACTTTATAACCACGTTCTTCACCAAATCTTTGGAGATTTAGCGTAGTCGTGAGAAGGTCTTTTGACATGATAACAGAGAAGATTAACTCATGTTCGGTTCACATGATTCGTGAACTTAAAGCGATTTTTAAAAAGCTGATAAAGAGGGTGATTACCCTCACACGAGCATGTTGGAGTATAAATCTATGTCTCAACCCTCACGAAAACTTCAAAGTTTCGAGTTTTGATATAGTGTAGCTTGATAGTGTCCTTTCAGAAAACTAGTCAAATAAGAACATAATATATGAGAAACTATCAAATGCATTGTGTTCATAATAAGTGAATTTTTATTTTGATAAAATGATCTTTAAAAAAAAAAATATTCCTTGTCAATAAATTTAGAACTCTTTTCTTTTTATAACATCTGCTGTTCAATGATGGACAGAAGTTTCATTAAAATCAATCACATTATTATAGTCAAATTCCTAAAGCATTTCCTTCTAAACCTACCTTCTTTAATTGACAACCTAAGCTTAATTTGGACAAAGATGTCATTGTTATTACACTAAACAATGAGAAAGGAACTTCAGGACTTCACAAGCAAAGCATCATATACTACGACCAAATGCTCCTAGCCACGCCACGTGCCCTCATTTTCCATATAATCAAACCATAGCTTGTCGCTTATATGGGCCTTGCCTTCGTTGTCTTGTTGCAGTTGGGCCCCTTTTGAGCTCTTATGTCAATTAGCTTAGTAATGCCACCGGTAACTAATTTCTCTAAAAATTCAAGATTCACGTTGGAAATTCTGGCTTTCAAGATGCTTGACCTAACTTAGGTGGCACCTTCTACTTTCTTCATCTTTTTTCTAATTCAACTAGCTTCCAAGATTCCATGTTACATCTTTCCCATGCTATGAACCTAATCTGTCCTTTAAAGGAATTAGGAAGTGGATGGATTTGTTTTCTTTAATCTCTAGTGTTCAAACCCGTCAAGAAAAATATTCGGTTGATGTGTTATTCTATCCGAAGTTTGTCTTATTGTTCATCATATATAACAAGACAAAATCGAAACTAAGAGTAACCAACAAGCATTCTGCATCCATTTGTAAAAGAGAAGGAATTAATGTTGACATTAATACTTTTAAATTTGATATATTTTTAATTTTGTTATCATACGATGAGGAGCTAAATTTAATAATACTCATCCGATATATAACTCTTTCTATCCTAATTTAATTTTCAGCCACCCAATGATTAACCATGAAAATTATAGTAGATAAAAGTGAATTAACCGTGAATGTTAGTAGATAAATAATGAATAAAAAAGATTTCCTTACCTTTCCCCCCCTTTCTGTTTGAGATGAATAAATTGATCAAATAACGCTTATGATAAAAACGAGCTCTCATTTAGGAAGAAGGAGATTCAGGAAGGGATTCTTTCAATTTAGGGGGTGTTTGGTTACATTTCTATAAATTATAGGAAATGTTTTCCATCCAAAATTTGATTTCCTTGTATTTCTTAAAAAAATTATAGGAAAAGTTTTGAGAAGTTAAAAAGTACAAATTTTCTTATTTTTTGTATTGTGCTTGTTTGGTTCAAAACAAGAAAATGACTCATAACTTTTGGGAAAATAGCAACATTTCCTATAATTTATAGAAATGTAACCAAACACCACCAACTTTATAGAAAAGTGAGAACTTTATAGAAAAATGTTAATGAATTTTATTATTTAAATAATGAATGCGTCAGATTTCCAAGAGATTTCCGCTCATTTTAGAAGGAAATCAATTTCTATAAATTTTGGTACTTTTCTATACTTTACAGAAAACATTTCTGTATAAATTTTGGTACTTTTCTATACTTTACAGAAAACATTTCTGTAAATCTTTTTTGAGCCAAACACAGTTTATGGAAATCTATAGAAAATTCTTAACTACAGAAATGCCATTGTTTGTACTTTTTGAGAAAACATTTCTTAAAAACAATGCAACCAAACAAGTGTCCAGAAAAAATCGTGATAGTCAAGTAAAGAATTTTTAGTCGAAGTTATAACATGAGACACTAAATTTAGAGTTACTGAAACATTCAGGTACTAGTTAAGCAAATTTAGACTTCATGCTATCAAAGCCCAAAATGATTGCCATCGAAGAAGGGGAGGGGGGAATGTGTAAAATGGTATTAAAGTAAAACTAATCCTAAGGTCTTCAGTGTCATTTGACATAAGGATAAGAAGAAGGATCAACTTAGTTAATCCTTTGACCAGAGGTTAAAATCCTCATGAACTTTTAGCATTTTACAGTAAACCCCCAAAAACTTTTAGCATTTTACAGTAAACCCCCAAAAACTTTCAGAATTGCAATAAACTCTCAATAATTTTTGAAATTGAAGAAAATTCTCGATAAGTATTGGATTTTTTTACTGATAACCCCTATAAATTTGAGCCAAAAAAAACATAAAGAAGCATTTGGAAAGTTATTGGGGGTTTAGTGTAATTTACCCTAAAGATGCTGGTTTTTTTTTTCCCTTTCAAAAGTTATTTGGGTTTGGTGCGATTTTGTGGGGATTTATTACAAAACACTGAAAGTTCTTGGGGGTTTAGTTAATTTCCCTAATTCCAAAGAGCATGTCAAAGTTTAAAGGAAGACGACATATATATACCTCCCACTCACAGGTAGTTTTAAAATCACCCTCCAAATCTATCTTGTTATTTTAATTACCTCCAATTACATTAATTCATCCTCATTGTTTGAGATAAGGTTGATCAAGCGTTGTGGGATTGTGGCCATGCATGATCGTATGCATTGAGGTACACCAGACCAAGCGTCCAGAGTAAACGCAATGCTAGAGTTGGAGTACTATTTCCTACGCCTTACAAGAGATAAGAGTAAAGAATACGTACGTCCGGTGGGCTCTAGTTTGATCTTGATATCCAATGCCAAATGCTTTCTAGGCTCTTTTCACGTTCCAACTTCTGGTAGTTCTATTTTCCTCATTCTCTGTGATCATTTTGAAACTTGCAACAGTGGAGTGCTAGCTCTCAACAAGCAGAAGAAATCTTATATATGTATGTACACTGTG